AAAAAAAAAAAAAAAAAAAAAAAAAAAACTAGTTTATATATATATTTTCAAAAAAAATTAATGAATTTTATCTTAATTAAAAGGTTAAATTATAATATCTTAATTAAATTATATTTTAATTATGATTTCTTATTAATTTTATAGTCTTTCAAAATAAATTTTTGTTCAAGATGCGCAAAAATGGTGCAGCTTTCTAATATTTATTTTAGTAACTTCATTAAACTTTCTTTGAATCACTGAATGTGTATCTCACTAATAGTATCTATTTTATTAATACAGCTTTCTGCTGGAAAAGTGAAATTAAAATTACTGAAGGAGCAGATTCAAGGTAAACAGTTTACTACTTTATTATTAGATACTAAAGGTATAATTTCTTTCTTTTACCTTTGAATTCCATATAAAATGAAATTGCTAAAATTGTTCATGCATTATAAAGATTCTAAACCCCCAAATAATGGACTTTGATTTTCAAAATAAATTTTATCCAGGATTTTTTTTTGGGGGGGACCTTATTTTTGTCAAAAAATATAAACAGAATATAACTTTAATAGCATTTTTCAAAAATGAGGACTTTCACAGCACTGTTCCTTCAACTTTACTGTTATAATCTTGTAACTAGGGAGAAAATTTAGCAGCATAAAATTCTAAATTAAAACTTTACTCTAGGAAATTAGAAGAATATTGAACGATTGCTTTATATTTTCATAAATTATTTAACAAGAGCAAAAACCAAAAGTAAAATTTGAATTTATAATAATTCCAAAGGAAATAAGATAGTTTTCTGAAAGATAAACATTCGATTTTGAATGGTTAAGTTAATTTGATGGAACAAATTCTAAAAATACGTATGATACAATATTTATTATTTGTATTTAAATACATATATTTAGTATAAATAAATAATAATATAAATGCTTAGAAGTTGATCTATGTGGGCTTCAGTTTGATCCAGAGTTGTGAAAGAATGCCATAAGAATTCCATCAGGAGCATAGTCTTTACCATTCTGTAATTCTGTACTTTCAGTTCAAGTGAGTTTAAGCGGCCCAGATATGGGGGGACACATGTGGCTTTGTGCTCACGGAGAAAGTGGGGCCTACCGTGGCCTCTGCAGTCTCCTGGGAAGATTAGACTTGGCTGTACATCATTCTTATTGAGCAGCTAACGTTTAAGTACTATTTGAGTACTATTTAAGTACTATTTGAGAATTTAAAAATGTGCATAGTTTCATAACTTTATCAGAAAACTAAACATATTTTAAAGTGATTAGTCTGACTTTTCTCCTTCTAGAGCCGGTGAAACGACCAGTTAATTATAAAAGGGCAACTTCTTCTGAAAGTGAAAAACCCAAGATAANGTGAAACGACCAGTTAATTATAAAAGGGCAACTTCTTCTGAAAGTGAAAAACCCAAGATAAAAGGGAAAGTTTGTGGTCAGTGTGAGAACAAAGCTGCTCTACTGGTATGTACGTTATAATAAGCAACCATAACAGAACTTTCAGTGACTTAACCCGCTTTGGTAGCCGTGTCCTTTTCTCTCGTTACTGTGTCTGTGGGTGAAGTGTGCATGCTGCTGGGTAAGGCCAACACCTGTACTTATTCACTGACTCATTCTTGTTTAAGGCATCACCTTAAATCTTGTCCTTTCTCCTTTGGATCCTGCCTATCAGCCCATAAACATGGGGCAGCATCTTCCATCTAAAACCCAAACCCAAATCAAAATACAGTAAAATTTCTTTTCGAACTCCAAATCTCCCTCCGTATCTCACTACAGTAAAATTTTTCTGAAGAGCTGTCTACACTTGCTGTCGTCATATTCTCTCTCTCTCAATTTTTTTTTT